GCAGGAGTTTTGTCTTGTAGTTTTTGCCAGTCTCAGTGAGTATTTAGTTACAGGTACTTAGAGCCCATATATGAAGCTTGCGTTAGTTTATTAGGTTGATTTAATTCAGAGGTCAAGTGTTTTCCCTCTCGCCCTTTTTTCACCACTTTCACTGTGTGCCACTTTTGTGCCAAAATTGCTGCTGGTATGTTGGGGTTTCTCCCAGTGGACGAGAGGGTTGGTTCCCTTCGCCTTCGGGTCAGGGAATGGGTCCTGACAGTCGTCTGTGCTTATGTGCCGAGCGGCAGTTCAGAGTACCCAGTCTTCTTGGAGTCCCTGGGTAGGACACTGGAGGGTGCTCCCCCAAGGGAACTGTGTTGTTCTGCTGGGAGATTTCAATGCTCACGTGGGCAAAGACAGTGAGACCTGGAAGGGCGAGATTGGGAGGAACGGCCTCTCGGATCTGAACCCGAGTGCTGTTTTGTTATTGGACTTCTGTGCAAACAATAGTGGTGCAACGGATCACGGTTGATCCGTAATCTGAACCGATCCCACTACACGGTTTGGCACGCAGGTGATCCGAAGATTTAAAAAAGAAGAAAAAAGTATGTGTATGGTGTGCGTGGTCAGTTTGTCCAGCGATAGTTATGGCCAGCACTGGAGGAGCAGAGGAGTTTGCGGTGTTTAAGCAGCCTTTTGCTGCCCTATCCGACTGGGCTAAAGCTATTGCAAAAGCTATTGGGGTGTTTAGCTGCAGACGGGAGGCCGTATTCTGTTGTGCAAAACAAGGGGTTTAAACTAGACAACGCGTTAGTTGACTCATTGATGCCGTGCAGCTGCGTTAATGCAGGTGGAGTCTGCTTCTACATTAATGAAGGTTGGTGTACTGATGTCACAGAGTTACAGAAACACTGCAGCCCACACTTGGAAAGTTTTTTCATCAACTGTAAACCTTTTTATTCACCGCGGGAGTTTTCTTCCTTCATGCTGGTCGGAGTTTACATCCCTCCACAGGCCAACGCGAACAATGCACTGTGCGAGCTGGCTGACCAGATTACTACCCTGGAGAGGAAATTCCCAGATTCCTTTACAATTATTCTTGGGGATTTTAACAGAGCAAACCTAAACTACGAACTCCCTAAATACAGACAGCATATAGACTGCCCCACCAGGGACAACATCATACTGGATCACTGCTACACCACTCTAAAAGATGCCTATCGCTCTGTGCCCTGGGCAGCTTTGGGACATTCTGATCACTGCATGGTCCATCTTATTCCAGTTTATAGGCAAAAACTCAAACGTGCCAAGCCTGTAGTCAAAACTGTGAAGAAGTGGACTAACGCAGCAAAGCAGGAACTGCAGGACTGTTTTGACTCCACTGATTGGACTGTTTTTGAAGCTGCATCTGAGAACCTAGACGAGCTCACGGACACTGTGACATCATACATCAGTTTCTGTGAAGACGTGTGTGTGTGCCAACAAAGACCTTTTGCACATACAACAACAATAAACCATGGTTCACTCCTAAACTCCAACATCTTCGTAAGGCCAAGGAGGACGCCTACAGAAGTGGTGACAGGGCCCTCTACAAGCAAGCCAGGAACACACTGACCAAGGAGATCAAAGCAGCTAAAAGGATCTACTCCCAGAAGCTGGAAGAACGGCTCTCAGCCAACGATCCTGCATCAGTGTGGAGGGGCCTGCAGGAAATCACCAGCTACAGACGCCCCCCACCCACTATTGAAGCAAACAAAGACCTGGCCAACGAGTTAAACACTTTCTATTGCAGGTTTGAGACGGACAGACTCCCACGCCCCACCCTCCCCTCCCCAGGGACATTGCTTCAGACATTGACCCCCAACACACCTTCCACCTCTCCCCCCTTCACCCTCCCCAATCCAGCCTCAACGACCACCCTCACCCTCCCCAATCCAGACCTAACGACCACCACCGCCCTCCCCAATCAAGACTCAACGACCACCCCCACCCTTCCCAATCCAGACTCAACGACCACCCCCACCCTTCCCAATCCAGACTCAACGACCTCCACCACACCTCTCACCCCCCTTTCCTCCTCCCTGAAACTCAGAATACACACTCAGGATGTGAGCCGACTATTCCAGAAACAGAAGCCCAGGAAAGCCCCCGGACCAGACGGCGTCTCAAAACCTGTTCTGAACAGCTGGCTCCCATCTTTACTCGCATCTTCAACAGATCCCTGGAGGTGTGAAGTTCCCTCCTGCTTCAAACGCTCCACCATCATCCCTGTTCCCAAGAAACCCACCATCACAGGACTGAATGACTACAGACCTGTCGCCTTGACGTCTGTGGTCATGAAATCCTTCGAACGACTGGTGTTAGCCCATCTGAAAGACATTACAGGCCACCAGCTGGACCCTCTGCAGTTTGTCTACCGGGCAAACAGGTCGGTGGATGATGCAGTGAACATGGGGCTGCATTACATCCTGCAACACCTTGACCGCCCGGGAACTTATGCCAGGGTCCTGTATGTGGACTTTAGTTCGGCTTTTAACACCATTGTGCCTGAACTTCTTTCCTCCAAACTCTCCCAGCTTAGCGTGTCACCAGCTACCTGTCAGTGGATCACCAGCTTCCTGACAGACAGAAAGCAACAAGTGAGGCTGGGGGAGATCACCTCTGAAACCCGGTCCCTCAGTATTGGTGCCCCTCAAGGATGTGTCCTCTCACCACTACTGTTCTCCCTCTACACTAACGACTGCACCTCCAAGAACTCGGCTGTCAAACTCCTAAAGTTTGCAGATGACACCACTGTCATTGGCCTCATTCAAGATGGTGATGAGTCTGCATACCGGCAGGAAGTTGAGCGGCTGGTACTCTGGTGCAGTCAGCACAATCTGGAGCTGAACACTCTTAAGACTGTAGAGATGACAGTGGACTTCAGGAGACATCCCTCAACTCTGCTCCCCCTCACCATATCAGACAGCCCTGTGTCAACTGTGAAGACCTTCAAGTTCCTGGGTACAACCATCTCCCAGGACCTGAAGTGGGAGACCAACATCAACTCCATCCTCAAAAAGACCCAGCAGAGGATGTACTTCCTGAGACAACTGGGGAAGTACAGTCTTCCACAGGAGCTGCTGATCCAGTTCTACACTGCGGTCATTGAGTCTGTCCTGTGCTCCTCCATCACAGTCTGGTATGGAGCAGCCACAAAACAGGACAGGAGCAGACTGCAGCGGACTGTACGGGCAGCAGAAAGGATCATCGGCGCCCCCCTGCCCTCCATCCAGGATCTGTACCTCTCAAGAACCAGGAAACGGGCAGGGAAAATCATCACAGACCCCTCACACCCTGGACACAGACTTTTTGATCTGCTGCCCTCTGGGGGCAGCAGATTCTGATTCTGATTCTGGTTATGGCATTAACGTCATTTTAACGAGATTTACGCTGACAGCACTAGTTTAAACTATGATGAAGGTGCTTGAGCCACGCTATGACATCCCGTTGCGCGTCCACCTTAGTGACAAGATTGCTCCAAGCATGTATGAACAGGAAAAGTTTAAAGTTATGGCTGAGGCATCTTCTGTTGCCCTAACTACAAATGGGTGGACCTCCAGGACAACGGAAAGCTACGTGACCGTGACCGCTCATTATATCACAGCGGAGTGGTAGATAGAAAGCCCTGCACTGCTCTATATTACTTAATTTGTTTTTATATAATTGCGTGGAATGAGTCTTGAGTTGAATGATTTTAATAGGCAAAAAATACTTAAATAAGTAAATGGCGAGTTAATTTTTTGTCTTTTTTGCTTTTTCTGCTGATCCAAAAATTGATCCGATCCGTGATGAAAAAACGTGATCCGATCCGAACCGTGAGACTTTTGATCCGTTGCACCACTGGCAAACAACAGTTTGGCCATAACGAACACCAGTTTTAAATATTAAACTGCACCATGCTTAACCATGCTGAAATTGGGTTGATTTTTTTTCTAACATGAAACATACAAACCGGGAAACACTGCCCACAACCACCAAATGGGTGGACCTCTAAACAAACAGAAACCTGGTTTTAGAAAGAAAATACACACACAAATAAGAAAGAGATGGTCATTTCAGCATTTGTAACTGAACCCAATCTGGAACCAAAGCATTTTTCTGCATATTTGTAATAACCTAAGACCCAAATTTACTTATTTCTATTTATAGTCAATTCAATAAGCTGAGAGAAGATTAGTCAGTCCATGAAAGGATCAAATGTCACAGATATCAGTGGCAACAGGTCTGAATCATGAATCCAATATAGACAGAGGAAGTCAGGAGGGAGGTAAAATAATGAGTGTCTACATCCATCCATAAGAATGGATGTAGACAGGGATAGCTCAGTAGGTAGAGTGGTGGCCCCATGATCGGAAGGTCGGGGGTTCAACTCCACTGAACGGCTACCCTGAGGTACCCCTGAGCAAGGGACCGTCCCTACACACTGCTCCCCGGGCGCTGCATTGGTGGCTGCCCACTGCTTCACTGGGTGAATGGGTTAAATGCAGAGGAACTATTTGCCTATGGGGACTAACACATTACATTATTACATTACATTACAAGAAATGGTGGTACATTTCAGCCAGTGGGGTTTTTATTCATCTTGCACGACCATCTGGAAAGCATCTGATTCACTTTTTCTCCAAAATCACAGCATGACAACATGACTCTTGATAAAACAAAAAACAAATGTGAAAATCTTCAAGCATCTATATAAACCCTGCAGTTTGATTTTGGTTTTTCTAGTTCCAAGCTAAAGCATCTTGTCCATCCATAGGAAAAGAAAGAGAGTAAGCAGAACATTTAGCAGTACTTTGTTTGAAATTCAATACTGTTAATGAGAAATGGGTGCGCATATAACAGATGGTGATAGATAGGAGTAGTGAAGTATTTGCTGTGAAAATTTTCAAAACCACATTACTCACAGGAAGTCGTTAAAAGTCAGATATTAGTCAGTACAAACTGCTTAAAAGGACTGACCCGTCAGTCTCAAGTTAACAGATCGAGCATTTTCCCAGCGAGATGTTTGCTCTGCAACAATTTGCAGTGATTCATGCGCTGACATTCCTCGGGCAAAATGGTAAGTTGCACCATGAATACTCTTCTCCAGCCTGCATGTGGAATATTTATGTTTTTATTTTCATTTTCTTTTCTCCTAATGCTATTAGCCCTGGGAAGTGAAATTATAAATGGGAAAATAGCCCCAGACAACAAAATGCTGTATATGGCATCAGTGCAGGATTACAGAGGCTACCATATTTGTGGAGGATTTCTTGTGTCTGAGAACTTTGTAATGACTGCTGCACACTGTGACGTGTAAGTAATCTTTCCTCCAAGGAAATTTCTAATTAGACCATTTTTTCCCCCAAAATGTCCCAATGTCCTATATAAATATATATATAAATACATGTATATATATTTACTACTGTATAATTTAATGGTCATAATTTAAGTTACAGTTCTTCCTTTGCAAACTGAAACCATGAGAATTTTTGTAAAACTTGTGCTAAGATCTTGAAGTAAAATTGAATTTAACTATAAAGAAATGTATCCATATTTTATTCATCATGTTGTTTATGTAACTTCAGAAAATCTGCTGATGATCTTAGAATTATATTTTATTCAGATGTCCTACATACGTAGTCCTTGGTAACCACCATCTGAGGAGTGCTGATAAGCTCGTGATACAGATTGCAGAGAAATACAAACACCCATATTATCGGGATGTTAACCTTGGATACGACATCATGCTTTTAAAAGTAAGGTTTATCAATTTTGTTTTCTCACATCACACTGGAAGTTTTATATCTTTGAGTGTTTGCATTTACAATATGCTGATTGAAAAACACATTTCTAGTTGAGGTAAAAAGTGCTTACTTAAAAAAAAAAGATAAAAGATAGATGTTCTGTATTGCTGTTACATGGTTTTCACGTATTTTTAATCTTTACTCTTTAATTCTGTGCCTCTAGCTGTCTACACCTGTCCGACCAAGCAAAACAATTCAATTCATTCGACTTCCCCTCCGTGAAATGACATTAAATGAAATTGAGAAGTGTCGAGTGGCTGGATGGGGTAAGATAAACACTCGTGGTAATGTTGTTGATGACCTGAGAGTGGTGGATGTGTCTGTCATCGGCCCACAAGTCTGCAGGGAAAGATGGGGTGGTCTTCCTCCCAATGTTATCTGTGCAGGTGGATACAACACAAATAAAGGATTCTGTCAGGTACCTTTTCTGTCCTTCCCTTTTAAAATCTTGCTAACTGCTCTGTTGTTGAGGAATATATGAGCAGCCTGCATTAAGTATCATATGAACAAAATACATACTTCCTCCTTACAGGGTGATTCTGGTGGCCCTCTGGTCTGCAAGGGAATGGCTGTCGGTATTGTTTCTTTCAACAATCTGCTTCCTGGAACCGAGCTGGGAAATTGTAACTATCCGGATGTCCCCAATGTCTATGCAGATATCTCAAAACACCTTCACTGGATCAGGAGGATTCTTGAGGGGAGAAAAAGTTAAATCTTACACAAAGCTTTGCATCAGCACACTGTAAGTGTGCAAGCTATGCCTCTGTCAATGTTTGCTCTCAATGCAGAATAAAGAAAATGTTTCAAGTATTGTTTTCTTACACAAAGTTTTGCGTCAGCACACTGTAAGTGTGTAAGCTATGCCTCTGTCAATGTTTGCTCTCAATGCAGAATAAAGAAAATGTTTCAAATATTGTTTCTGTGCACGAACAATATTTATTATGACTTCAAATAACTACCTATCTAAGTAGTTTACCATGGAAAATTAATTCCATGCATTACTAATATCTCTAAACTCCTTTTCACTTCTACAGTGCATTAATCCTGATTTATCTAGTACAATGAATACAAAAGACTAGCTGGGGGTATTTTAGTATCACAGTGAACCACCTGATGTGGTTTTCAGTTAAATCTCTAATAAGCCAAACAAATAGAAGCTTTGACGTTTTAATACAAGTACTACATCTAACTACAGTAACTCTTTTTAAAATTAATAGTAAGATCATGAACATTGAACATCCTGACGTCTTCTCTTGGTTGGCGTGTGGGTGCCCGCCCTCGCTTCCTTTTTGTTCCCACATTCTTCTTCTGTTGTCTGTCTGGCTCATCTTTTTTCTTCTTCTGTGCTCCCGCTGGCTTGGCCGCCATCTTTGGTGACCCTGCCGGTTTGGTCTTCTTCTGTTTCCCTGTTGTTTATTATTAGAAGGAGGAAAAATAAAATCTGCATTCAGTAGCATCCAGAATACAACACTGCAGAACATGTTTGCTATAAATTTGTTACTGTTAGTGTATATATACACTAAACCAAATCCAAAGTGGAAGCTGGTTCCACAGAAGAGGGGCCTGAAAACTGAAGGGTCTGCCTCCCATTGTACTGTTAAATACTCTAGGAACAACAAGTAGGCCTGCAGTGTGAGAGTGAAGTGCTCTAATGGGGTGATATGGTACTACAAGGTCATTAAGATAAGATGGGGCCTGATTATTTAAAACCTTGTAAGTGAAGATCAGCCCCTCAGCGGTCAGGCTGAAGTTGCCTGCTTCCCTTAGGATTCACCCGACCTTCTGCGTGTCACAGTTGAAACCGGTGATCACGAGTCCTTTGCCCTTTGTCTGTAGTCGAGTCCACGGATCATTCCCTGATGATTTTTCTAATGTGAAATATTTGCCGTGGCTCATAAAAGGGAGGTTAACCTTACGAGATGTCTGGGTTAAAGGGAAAAAAAGTGATTTTCTCATTGACATCAGTGCTATTGCAACTTATAGTGTTATTGTAAACTGTATGAGAGCATGATTGTGAGTGTTCTTAGTGAAACCATGCAAACTGTGTGAAAGAGTGATTAGAGTGTGACATGAGAAAGGACTAACTGTCCTGAAATTGCTCACAGCAGACTGTGGGTTTCTAACTGGAAGGAGATCCATGTACATGAATTATTTTTGAACTGCTTCAGGCAATAAATGAGTGAAAACCTGGACTGCGACTGAAACTCTCTTTTACCTTAAATAAAAATAACACGCAACAACTGCCTATTGAATAAACATTTCTTATACGGCATGAAGAGAGCAAAGTGAACTGGAGTCAGAGTCCTTGTTTGTGTGCATAAACCTGTCCAAATAAAGGTGATTCTGAACTCAGGGGAAATATCTGAGCAGAACTCAACTTAACTGTGAGAAGCCATTTGAAAGGCACAGAAACATGATGTGATCACTCAAGAACATTTTTTTAATACATCAGCTTTACAAGCCAGTGTGGACAAACTTGGAAGTGAAAGGCTTCAGCCCTGACTTTGACTCAGGTAAGCCACTAAGAAAGTGATGGTGGTGGATATATTAGACCTTTCCTTTCTCTTTGGTTTCATTTTGGTTTCGTTTCAGTTTGGGCACCTGGATGTGTAACTGTTATTGTTTGACTTAAAATAAACCCTTTTACAATGTCAACTTGAAGTCAAACTTCAAAAGTAAAAAAAACACCCTAGCAGGTTTCCTGCCAATTCTGACCTGGCATCAAACAATCCAGTAAAATGAAAAGCAGCTCTATCACCACTTTGAATACTAAAGCTATTTTTTAAGCAAGAAACAGAAAATAAAGAAAAGAACTCACCAATTAGGTTAAGATCAACAAACTCAAATGTCTGAAGACACAAAAAGCAGACAGAGATCCTTCACTGTCAGTGGATAGAGTACGACTGAGAGTCTAAGCTGTCGGAGAGAAAGGAAACTTCTGTGCTAAACCACACAGCCACAGAAATTCTCACAGACAGACTCACAGATACAGTGAGGGAAAAGTTGGTACGGTTCATATAGCATTTGAAAAACCAGGTATTTCTCTCAGGAGTGGTGGAGGGCAAAACAGAGCTAGAAGAAAACAAGTTACAATCTAATCGTTATGTGCAAATAAACAAATGAACTGTTTTGTTTTTTACTTGATGTGTTAATGTGAAGCAGATACATCATAAACTGGTAATTTTAGCCCCAAGTGCGATAGGAGAAGGATTGTTGAGTGCGAGAGGAACTGACCTGAAAGATAGGATCATGGTAGTGATGGGTCCAGCAACACTGAGGCACCGGCGCATGTATCAAGCTCACAGAGCGAAGCCTGTATCGGTGCGTGTGTCGCTTTAAGAAAAAGTCACGTGATCGATACAGCTGCTGTATCGCTCATTGCCAACGCTCCAAACTGTGTTTAAAAGGTACCACATCTGCATCTGTCAACGGAATGAGTCGCCACCAAAAAACAAAAACAAAATTACTCTGGCAAAGAAACAGATAATACATATCTCTCCATAAAAATATGGAGCCCAAAAGAAAAAGAAAAGTTTCTGCTGTGTGGGATCATTTGACCTGCAGTGTAAAGTATTTATTTCATTTTATGCAGGTTAAATGTCGCATCTGTTCTGCGGAGCTTTCTTACACAAACAAAAGCACCTCCTCAATGTTTAGGCATTACAGAGCCAAACATGAAAATGAGGAGACAAACACACCGAGAATAACACAGGTAGGCCTATATAGACATTGAGCAGCATTATCATCATTTTTTTTTTCATTATGTTTTATTATTTTGAAATCAAGCATCTAGGAAGACTGTTTTTGACCAGGCAGTCCTGAATTTTTTTATTTATTTTTTTTATAAAAGACAATCCCTTAGTATTGTGGAGAGTGTTGGAGAGAAACATTCCAAGATCAGAGGATCCTTTAACGTACTGGGGAAATAGGAAGACATCTTATCCGAACCTTTTCCACCTGGGTTTACAGTTTTTGTGTACCCCAGCTCCATCTGAGCCCTATAAGCGTGTGTTTTCCAAAGCTGAGGAAATGGTGTCAAAAACGCAATGGACTGAATGCAAAAACATTGGATGAACTTGTTTTTCTGAATAGAAATTTATAATAAACTCTGAGTCAAATACATTTAAATGAGTAATGTTACATTCACAATACCTTCATTTTAATTTTCACTTAATGTCATTCACAGTATATTTTAAAGATGTCTACAATATTTGCAATGTAAAAAATATAAAATGATTCCATGGAAAGTGCAATACCTTACAGTGTATACAAGTATGACTAGGTCATTGAATCAGTGCCTGTTGTGAGTCTCAAGTAAGTTGCCTGCAATGATACTTAAAGTCCAGCAGGTGACAGTATGGAGCAAAACAGCAACACTGTGTCGACTCAGTATCGATACAGTTTGGGGAATGTGCTGAAACGCTTCACGAGGCCTCATCTACCCATCACTAGATCATGGCCAAGCTTGAAACCTGGACCCCCCGTACCAAGACTACGTGAAGCCCCTCAGAAGGTCTGCTAGATACAGGCTACAGCCACCATTACCGAGACTAACAAGCCGATCTACAATATGGCAGCAGTGATCAGTGAGATGCTTGTCTACAAGTTGAACAGCCACAAGGGGCAGTACCCTCCATGGAGAAGGAGGCTAGAGGCTAAGAACAAGGTAGCACGGAGGGAGGTTAGCCAACTATCGGAGTTGCAGAAAGGTACGATGAAGAAGGTGCCTCTGAAGTACAGCAAGCTGTCCATACCTGAGGCCTTGAAAACTGCTAAGCAACGACTCGCAGCTTGAAGAGGTACACCAGAGAGATCGAAGGCAGGAGAATAAACCAGCTGTTCTCCACAGAAACAGCCAAGGTGTATACTCAGTAGCAGGGGAATATGAGAACAGCACCTCCAAGGCTGGAGACTGAGGAATACTGGAAAAGCATATGGGAGAAGGACGCAACCCATAACGGTAATGCTCAGTGGTTAGTGGATCTGGGGGCAGACCACAGCAACCACCCTGAACAGGGTCCAGTAACCATCACAGTGGCAGACATCCAAGAGAGGGTTTCCAGTATGGAGAGTTGGACAGCACCAGGCTCTGACATGGTTCACGCCTACTGGCTTAAGAAGCTGACTGCACTCCACGAGCGTCTGGCAGCACAAATAAACCAGCTGCTAGCTGACAAAAGACACCCAGATGGGACTCAATTAAAAACAATCTAATTAATTAGAGGCTTTGTAATTAATTAATTAATCTTGATTAATCACATTTAATGACACAAAGCACAAATGTTTTTTAACTCAAAAGGGTTTTATCAAATCAGTTTCGAATCAAATCCGTTTTATTTATATAGCACTTTTTAAAAAAACAGGTGTTGAACAAAGTGCCGTAGGCCTACAATAAAATAAAATTCTACAAAATTTTTAAAAGAAAGTAAAATCAAAGATGAGAGAAAAATTAGAATAAAATAATGACAGACTCATACAGAATTAAAAGCCAAGGAGTAAAAATGGATCTTTAGAAAGAGTTTTAAAAGTATCTGATGTTGAAGAGGTCCTGATATGTAAAGGCAGTTTATTCCACAGTTTCGGAGCAGTTGCAGCAAAAGCCCAATCTCCTCTGTGTTTTAATCTAGACCCAAGGACAACTAGCAGCTTTTGGTCCACAGACCTCAAAGATCTCCCCAGAGTATACCAATTTAAAAGATCAGAAAGACAAATAGGAGCTAGTCCATGCAATGATTTAAAAACAAGTGTCAAAATCTTAAAATCAATTCGAAAACTGTCAACCAGTGTAGCGAGGCAAGTATAGGAGATATGTG